TAGTTTACTGGATATGTAATTCTTCCTTTCTTTGAAAATAATTATTTTTCAAGCAAGTACAGCAAAAATACAACCAATAAAAATCTAGCTATGACAGCATAAACAACCTTGATGGCCAACGTATACATGGAGCTCTTCCAGGAAAAGTGGCTCCTGGTAGGGAAGACAGCTCAGCAAGTGGGGTGACTTGGGCCTGATGGAGTTCTGGCTCCCAAGGGTTGACAGAGGGACCCTCTCGGCCCTCCCTGCTTCCTGATCCCGGGCTAGTCCTTGGCTATCGGGGTGATGGCTGGAGCATCCCGGCTGTCAGGTTGGCCCTGGGCTATGGAGATGGAGGGCTACTTGTGTGGTTGGACCCAGTGTCCGGTTTACCTCAACGTGGTCTATGAGACACCTTTCACAAGGCCCATTCCTGGGGCCACCGGAGCTGATGGACAGTGGGGTGACATCCCGCGGAGGGCTCCAGAGGTTAAGATGCGGAGTGTCTACCTCACGGTTCCCCCATCCTGTGTCCTGGTTGGTGGTCCCTCAGTGAGGGTGGTGCCCGGGTTGGTGGCCAGCTGGGGTGCGGGGACCGGAGTGGGCTTAGGAGAACCTAGTCCAGGCCTACTGCTCTGGGCTTTGGTCGACTGGTTGGGGGCTCCCAGGGAGGCGAGTGTATGTTGGCCACTGCACCCCTGGGCCTCTCGCCATCTGGACAGAGCCTGAGCTGGCATTGTGGGGGCTCAGGTGTCCCCAGCCAGGCTTGGACTCCTCCTGGGGAGCCCTGCCTGCAAGTTCTCGGCAGTGGGGGGTCATTTATGCTTTTTCTAGTAGCTCCCAACGATGTCCTCGCAGCCTAAGGACAGAAATCAGAACACGTCCCCTTCCAGTGAACATCTGCTGTGCTTGGCTTACTGCTCCTCTGTGGGGGGCTCCTTTAATCTCCTCGCAGTGAAATTCCTAAGGAAATTCATTCCCTCCAGTTGCCATTATTCTCAACTGCTCTTTTGGGTGGCAGAGTAATTGGAATTTAAGGGTCTCTCTTAAAAGACAGGAAACGTCGGCCACTTTGCCAGAAGAACGACACTCTTCAGTGCTGTGCTTCGCCCGTTAGATGTGCCGTCGTCACTTCTAGTACCCGGGTCCCTCGGCTCCTCAGAAGGGTGTACCAAGACGCCACGAGCCGGGGATGTGATTCCAAGTCCTTGTCTCCGTTGACGTCACCTCTCTCCACTCCGGGTTACACATGCCCACCTGGGGCTGAGCACGGCCCCGCGCCTGTGCTTCGCCCGTTAGATGTGCCGTCGTCACTTCCCTTCTAGTACCCGGGTCCCTCGGCTCCTCAGAAGGGTGTACCAAGACGCCACGAGCCGGGGATGTGATTCCAAGTCCTTGTCTCCGTTGACGTCATCCCTCTCCACTCCGGGTTACACATGCCCACCTGGGGCTCAGCACGGTGCCCGCGCGGGGTACACCTTCCCTGCTGGCCACAGGCATGAACAATGCCGCAGCAGAAGGGCATGGCCATGAGGCTCCCTCGCCTGTTTATAAGCAGTGTTAGCTGTCATCAGCCAGAAAGTAATCCCACACACACAGAAGCACACACTCGTTAAAACGGGGTCACTCAGACAGCAGGGCACCCCTCTGCTGCCGGGAAGGCCCCTGCAGCCATCTCTGGAGCCTGGCTTGCCCAGACTGGGGCTTCATTCCCAAGGACCCAGAGCCCCAGCTTCCGGGTCCCCATGCTCTGACCCCTGAAGTACCACATTGCACCCTGGGAGAAACTGGATTGTCCCATCCTTTTCAGGGCTGTGCTGCTGTCCTGGAAAAACCGTTCTTGGTTCCTGGCTGAGAGGGTCCTGGGAGCCCAGGAGAGGCACCTGCCCAGAGGACACTTAGGTGAAGTGTCACTGGGTTCCCTAGGGGGGCACCTCTCCAAAGAGGGAATAGGCTGTGGCTGAATGAGGCTTACCTATGGAGTCAACAGAATGTCAGTGCCTGGGTGAACCCCACAGGCCACAACCAGGCCCAGGATCCTGCTTTCCTTTGTTTTGGAGCTTTCAAGCATTAACTAACTGGGCAAAAGGAAAAACCAAGTCCAGAGAACTCTGTAACAGGCCAAACAAGTTTAGTAGGACCATGGCGAGATTTTCCCTCGGGGCCTGAACAGCCTGAGAGGCCTGGGCTCTCCAGAAGAGCTTGAGGCCCAAGGGGAGGCCCAGGGGTGAGTCCTGGCTGGCCCTTCCCTGCTGTGGGCCTGGCCAGTATCCTTAGCTACAAAGCGATGTAGGCAGTGATGTTTTTACATCGGCTTAAGGGAGCACAGAATGATAAATACTGGCATGTGTGCAAGGACTTTGGAAGGCTGAAAAGCACTATGTATCTGCGTGTACCTTTATATACCTGTTATTTATAATGTGGCTGGGGCTCAAGGCTGAGGGGAGGACTCTTTGTTGCTCAAATCAGAGTATTTTAAAGTTCAGAGGTCATCTGTTGTCAGGCCTGTAGATACCAAAAAGTGGTAACTGGAGATGTTGTCCTGGAATTTTCTTTCTTTTTTTTTTTGAAGTAGGAAATGTGTTCTGTGGCTGGTCTGTGCTGCTATTGGCAAATTCTATTTAAAGGAAAAATCAGGATTTTTAAAACAGCCACATTCAAAGGGTGATTATTGCTTTTTTTTTTTTTTTAAAGATTCATATAGTACATTTCCCTGGTGCATTAAAATTTCATTATTTTTTAAATTACAAAGCCAGTCTCTCTTCTTTGAAAAAATGCAAATGACACTAAGAATTTGTATAATGTAAAAAGTGAAGGTCTTCCCTTTAAAACTCCCCTATTTTCACTCTCGGGGGGCAAGGTCTCCTAACACTTTGGGGAACATTCTTCTGAAGACCTTTACCTATGTTACATTCAGCTTTTTATACTTATATTTTATTTAAATGTAATTCTGTTTAAAAACAATTTTTGGAGCATAGTCTTGTTTCACAACATGCTGCATTGCATTTTTTAAATAGTAATCTCTAGGTTTTCTGTACTTAAAAAAAACCCTCATTTTAAAATAACGTAGTCAAATGTAGGTGTAAGTCACGATACAGAGAGATCTGTACATTTTCTCCAAAGATAACATCTTGCAAAACTGTGGTACAGCATCACGACCAGGATATTCACACGATCCACACATATTTTTCAGATTTCCCAGTTTCATTTTATTCTATGCAATTTTATCACATGTTTAGGTTTGTGTATCTACCACCACAATCAGGATACAAAGTTCCTTGTGGCTCTCCCAGTGCATTTCAAATACTGTAATTTACCGTTTTAGGAACATCTACTTCTCAGGGTGAGGCACACATGTAACAAGCTCCTTTCGATTAGATCAGTGCTGCCAAGGGAAAATACCATGTGAGCCACAAAATGAAAGTCATCTATGTAATTAAAAACTTTCTAGTAACGTCATTAAAAGGTAAATAAATATACATAAATTTAATATTTCATAAAACCCAAAATATTATTCTAACATGCATTAATATAAACACTATTAACGAGATGTTACTTTTTTTTCCTACTACTAAATCTTTGAAATTCCCGGAGCCCACTGCCTCACCAGCTGTACGCACCTCTGAGCGTGTACTGAGCACCTGCTCTGGGCCTGGCTCTAATGCAGGCACCAGGATAGGCAGGTCCTGCCCCGGATGCGAACTGGGCTGCTGGAGGGGACACGCACCGTTCCAGCACCGCGAGGCACGCGCGTGGTGGAAGCGGCACAGGTGCCCCGAAACGAGGGAAGGCTCCATGCGGCCCAGCCTCAAGGCGGGTCCAGAAGCCCAGGGCCATCCGGCAGGAGCCCCTCGTGTCTGGGTGGGCGCACGGCTTTCGGCAGGATGGCAGCTACGGGAGCAGCGGCGCTTTGGAGGGGAGGCCCGGTGTGGTCTGGGGACCTCCAGGAAACCGCCCCTCCCCAAAGCAGACGCCTGCCGGGCCAGGGGGCGGAGGGGCTTGCGGTGGAGTGGGAGACCGGGCGTGGACGAGGTGGGTCAGGCCAGGGAGTGTGTGGGGGAAGGACACCGCCCGGCGAGTCAACATTAGGGGGACTCCAAGGGCAGCCGGCGACGGGCCCGCGGGAGAGGTGCGGGGGTCGTGGAGCCGGGCCGCGGGGCCGGGAGGCGGCGCCCCAACCAAGGCCGTGCTGCTCCGAGGTCACAACGCTCCGGTGACGCGTGCGCCGCTGGGGTGCTGGACGCCCAGCGCGCGGAGGCGCGGGTTCCAGTCCTGCAGGCCCGAGTTCCAGGCTCCCGGTCAGCGTAGAGGTTCCGAGACGACGCGACGCCCCTTTCCCCGACCTCCCATCCATCTCCAGCTCGGTGCAAAGTTATTTTCTGTTTCGTTACGTTGGAACCTGACTTCACTTACACGCACGTCACACGCGCACCCTTCCCCAGCGGCAATGGGAGCTGAGGGGACGTACGCGGCCGGGAGCCCCGAAGGCAGGATCACCACGGAGGCGGAGGAGCCGAGCGCTGGCCCCCAGCTCGGCCGGAAGCCCCGCCC